ACAAGATCTAAGATTAATGGTATTAACCCCAACCAGCAAAAGACAGAAACTCAGACAACGGATGGCTCAAGGTCAGGGGGACATCCTTCCATCGAAAACAGGAGTGGTCATCTTGCCAGTCAGGTGTAAAGGGGGATATTGGCAAGTTGGTTTGTCAGAACTACAAGGAGCTGCACATGGGGAGGTAACGATGCAAGGAACCAAGCCTCAATTTCTGTCTCTGGTGGCTCTTACAGGGGGAATGACGGGAGAATCCTGGATTAAACTGGAAATACTAAAATTTATAAAGGAAAATGTCCCACCAGGGGCTATGGCTACCCTTTCACTAACAACTGAAGAACAAAGGGTGACAGAGAGAGACGTGTACCTCAAGTATGAAGGGGTAAGGCAAGATGAATTGAAATGGTTTGGACAAGAAGCTCTAAAAGATATTAAAATCCTCAAAATCAAGGCAGGCTTGTTCTGGTCAGAGGAAGATGTGGGGATTCTCCTCGCCAGAGTGCTAAAGCATGGCATTATGGAAAAGGGAGGGGTGCTGGATATAGGTTAGTGGAAAAACCTCTAGAGGATACTTTTGAATGTTTACTAAGAGTATTAATGGAAGGAATTAAAATCATTGGTGCTTTGTACAATAAAGATAAATAATGGAAATTGTTTAGGCGGCAAGCAGATGTATACCTTAGAACTTAAAATATGAATGGTCTAGCCTCTGCCAAATTAATCAAAAGACAAGCGATCTTTGAACAGTTAAAAGGTATTGACGGTAAAAAATGGTCAGATGTAATATGTATCCAGGAAACCCACTTGATGGACTCAGAAATGCATAACTACCTACACAAACAAATATGGTCTCACCAATCCTATAGAGCCCATGCTATCACCCCATGGAGCTCTGGGGTAGCTATTTGGGTCCCCCCCCAATCCAGGGCACAGATTACTTACTCAGTAGCAGATCTGGAACAAGGTAGGTGGGTATATGTATTAACCATGTTGGAACTAGAGATAGTGGGAATCCTTTGCGTGTATGAACCTAATGAGGGAGGAGAAAGGAAGAAGTTTTTTTAAAATATTTTTCCACGACTTCCAACAAGCGTTCCTTTAATCATAGCTGGTGACTTCAATGCTGCCCCAGATCACCAACTTGATAGATGGCGACGTCATGGCGCCCACCCTCCCCATGTCCATCATACATGACAATGGATGAAACGATAATTACAAATCTATGTCAATCTCTTAATCTATTTGATTCTTATAGAAGGTTGAATCCAACGATCAGAACTTTCTCGTGCTTCAGAAAAGACAATACTAATCATAACTCAAAATCAAGAATAAATATGATCTTAGTGGCTGAAGAACTGCAAGGAGCTCTCCAACTGGCATACATTTTTTCGAAGAGCCCTTTCCCTGGTTTAGATCATGCTACGTGTGTCGCAATATTTTCTTTCAGGAAGAAACCATATCAAGGGAAACAATTTTATCACCTCAACACATCTCTTCTTAAGATGGATTGTTTTCGTAATTACCTTCGAGATAATTGAAATTTTCGGAGTGATCGGAGGGATCACCTCAGAGATGACATTAAATGATTCAACAACGGCCTAGTTTTTTTAGGCCGTAAGTGCCATGAATATTCTAAACTATTGGCAAGACAAAAACATACAAATGAAACCAACATTCATAATAGAATTAGTGAGCTACAAAGAAAAGAGATAGACTCCCAAGACCAATGAGTCCTAGAATCAATAGCTGAAGAGCTTCAAAGTCTAGAAAACCAGCTTTTGACCCAAATGGAATACAGATGGCAAGGATTAAGAATCAGGGGCAAACTCAAAATTCAGAATATGGAAGGCTCAATGGATGCACGTTTCTTTGCAATGGCTAGAACCAGAACATGAAGAACTATCATTGAGGTTTTTCAAGACCCAACAGACCCTAATAAGGACCCAGTTACCTCGACGACATCATGGTCAAAAGTAGCCAGAGATTTTTTCAAAACACTTTTTACATCACAAAACAGTCATATCCCTAAAGAGCATCGCATCTTAGAGATGGAAAAGTTCCTTATGTTTATAAACACAACTTTAACAGAGAAACAAAAAGAAATGATAGAAAAACCACTTGATAAGGATGAAGTATGGAAGTCCCTCTTACTAATGGATGGAGACAAATCCCCATGCATTGATGGTCTCCCAAAGGAATTTTGAGAATCGACATGGGATTTTATTTCTCAAGATCTAATGGATTATTACGAGGCTGTTTGGGAATTGGGAGAGATGAGAGAATTTGTTGGGCAGGGAGTACTTACCCTACTGTATGAGAAAGCAGATAAGGTTAATATAAGAAATTATCGCCCAATAACTCTTCTAACAATAGTTTATAAACTCATAGCTAAATCATTAGCACATCGCATGTCCAAAATAATTCCAGAAATCATTCACTCATCCCAAACAGGATTCATAAATGGTAGAAACATTCAGGATAATATCCTTCTTGTAAATGAACTTCGTAAAATATCTCGTCAGTCCAAACACAATGCAACCTTAATCTTTATTGATTTTGAAAAGGCATACGTATTGTGTAACCGTATGAAGGCCGTGAACGCGTGTTCATGTTCAAACGCGCGCGTTCAATCACCCCAGCCCCGCGTTCAATCGCGTTCAAACGCGCCACGCGCACGTGCGTGCCAAAAAATTGAACGTGCTCCCGCGGGGTGCGCGCGCGCGACGGGGGCTATGGGGTGGTGGTCCGAGTTTAACGGACCCCAAAGTGCAAAAACCGCCCCCCAGGACCACCTAACAGCCCCCCCCTCCCCCGCCCCACGGCCCCCATGGCCCCACCCACAAAACAGCCACCTGCCAAGCCCCGACTCCCCTACCCCCACCCAACGGACGGCCACCCACTCCAGCCACCTCCCCTCCGCCCGTGTCTCTGCGCCACCAGAGGACGTTTGTTTTTTTTTTTTCCCCGCCCATAATTACAACCCCCCAAACCACGCCACCCATTTGCACACACACACACTGACACACACACACGCATTCACACACGCACATGCACACACAAATTCACACCGTCGCACACACACAGACACTTTTTTTTTCCCGCCAACACGTACAACCCCCCCAAACTGCGCCACCCATTTACACACACACATATTCACATTCTGACATTCACACACACACACACAAACTGCGACCTTTCGTTTAATTGTTTTTTCCAAAATATCTGTTTTTTTTTTTTTTTTAAATAGCGCAAAACAAGCGGTTAGACAAATTAAAAAAAAGGGTTGCAAGCAAAAAAAAAAAAGGGGGTTTGAGCGTTCGGGGGCAGTGGTGGGGGCGGGGGTCCAGGGGAGGGGGCTACAAGAAGGGTTTGGGTTATGAGGGGCATGGAAACACTTTGGTGGAAGTGAGATTTCAGAGAAACCAAGGGTGGACTCAAAGCACACAAAACACTCGTCGTCTGAAAACAAAAACATCGCAAATGACAAGATGTAATGATCGAAGCAAAACGCAAACCAATATAGCATGAATAATAGCAAAAATCTGCAAAAAAGTGCCTACTGGAAAGTACAATATAATACAACATCACGAAACACCACGTCTGTCATGGATAACAAAAAACTAAACTCGAACGAAATGGCCATGTCCTCCTACGAAAGTAGACTGGAATGCAACATCACAAAAAACTATGTCTGCGCAGAAAACTACCCACTGAAAAGTAGACTACCGATGAGAACCTCGTCCGTGGGACCAACCACTGCCACGTCCTCGATGTCTCCGACGCTGGCCGCCGCGTCTGCCAGCGGAAGGCTCGGGACCGACCGGACGCTCGTCCGGGTCGTCGTCGATAATGACTCTCCTGCCTCTCACCCTCCTGTCTACACCTGCGGCTGCTAGGTCATCACGTCGGCGTGACTCGCGTAGCATAGGTAGACCGTCTGTCCCTGAAGTCTCCCCCTCCCAGCGTCGATCTAAGGGCACGTGTCTCTCCTGCCTCGGTTGTGTGACAACGCCAGGCTCCTGCAAAATAATCGACGCCTCTCTCAAACCGTACGTCAAGGGCGGATCCACTGCGCTCGCTGCGCCACCGCCTGCACCCTCACGTATGTCGTTGCCCTGGCCACCGCTGCCACTGCCGCCACCGCCTCTACCACCAAACCTTGAAGCTATAACATCTCGACGTCTCACGACCGTGGTAGCCCCTCTCAAACTTGGCTCACGACCGACACTCGCCGTCGTCACCCATCTCGTCTCGCTCCATGGTCAATCAGTGCGACCGAACAACATGGTGTCCAGCAACTCCCGTGCACGCTGGGCGGTGTCTCTCCGTCTACGCTCAACCGCCCTCGGGGTGAGACTACCACCCCCCCTCGGAGCTGCGGTCATGGGTGATGAAGGGTCTGCGGCGCCTCCAGATGGCGCTGAGACCGAACCTCCAGAAGGTAAGTCCCCTGCGGCCCCGCCAGATGCCGCTGCGACGGATCCTCCAGAACGTAAGCCCCCTGCAGCCTCGCCAGATGGCACTGCGACGGAACATCCAGAAGGTAAGCTAGGGCTGGCTGGCCCCCAAGACAAGTCCTCCACGTGCGGCAGCTTCCCCTCCTCTGGGACCGTCTTGAAAATACACCGGTTGATCTCCGTCAAATCCGTCCTGCCGTGCTCCTCCAACTCCTCAGCGCTCATAAAACCAAAAGGGAGGCTGCCCCGAGGCGTCGCCACATACCTAATCTCCGGCCTCTCCCGTGACGGCGCAAAAGTAGGGACCGGGGGTATGCACGCGCCCCTGCCTATCCGCTCTCATGCATACCCTGACGAACATCTACTCCCGTGCTCAAAACCTCTGTTGAAGCCGCCTCCGGCTGCGGCGTGTCGTGAACATCTGCCGGAGGATCCGTGTGGGCAGCTGGCGCTATGTCAACGGACGCCGACGTAAATGTCCCCAACTGCCTCTGTCGCTCCTCGGCCGCACGACGGGCGAGCTCCTGCGTCCTGGGGTCCCTCTGCGCCATGAGGCCAGCTCGACGACTATCAAGCCTATCCAGCCTCTCTGCAGATGTCTCTCCAGGGGGTGTCCGGTCCTCATCCCCCTCTGCCCCCGACATCACCTCTGCTCACATGGCAGGGGAGAAACTACTCGGGTCCGCTAAGCTGATCTGTCCCAAGAACTCCTGCATACCCACACTGATGTCCCCACGGGACTCGCTCTCTCCTCGGGCCAGACCCACGCTCTCTCCCGGGGGCATACCCAAGTCACCAAACTCACTGAAACCGGCTCCGCCCCCCGTCATCGGTATCCGCTCATCCCCGGCACTCCAAATCTCGTGCGCCTCAACCGCCGCAGCAACCTCTGCACCGCCTCCACCTCCGGCCGACGCACCACCATCTCTACGAGCCAACCTCTGTCTATCTCCGTCGTCCCCCTGCACCGGTGAAGAACCGACCTCTAATCTGTCCGGCAATCGCTGTCTAGGGCCCCTCACCAATCTGTGCAATCGATCATCCCCGACTGGTTGTCGACGAAGCTGCTTCGTCGAAGTGGGAAGAGCGGTGGATGATGCCGTACCAGTACGAACACGCGCAGGACGATGGCCAATCCCCGACTCTGCCCCCCTCGAAGGTGCAAACCCAGGATCTCTCTCCCGCTCCAAGGACCGCGGGTCAGCGGACATAGTTCTCTGACGCTGTGGAGGGCTCTCGTGACGACCCCCGGACGACTCCTCCAAGTCAACTCCAACGAAAAGGTCATCTCCGCCACTTCGTCTCCGGACGTCCTCTGGGTCGCTCCACGCATCACGCTCATCCGCCACAGGACCGGCGGTAGCGGGGCCCGCCAGCTCGTCCTCATCACCCTCAGAATCACTGTCGTCTCGAGGGTACGAGTGCAATGTGGCGGCTCAAGTACCAAAAACATCGCCCACATCACCCGGAGGAGCTCTCGACCCACATGGGTCTCACTGCCAAGAACGTCTCTGCTCCTCGAGCTCCTCCCGCATCCTGCTCTCGTCCGTCCCCTTCCACGAGGGGCGAATCCCGATACCTCCCTCCACGTCCAACAACGACTCATCCAAAGTCCACGGCAGTGCGAACCCGCGGCCTGCCCGCTGATGAGAGAGAAGGCGGACGTTGGCTGAGATCTCAACCAACTTCGCGACCTTCTCAAACTCAAGCCGGTTACACTTCTTCGTCTGTACACCCTCGTGGACGGCCCAATTCCTCTCCGCAGGAGAGGAGCACGTCTACATGTACATCACACGAAGAGCGATAACCTGCAACTGGGGAGCGCACTGCCCGTACCTCAACCACCAACACCCGGACTCGTACGTCTCCGCATTGCCCATGCACCTTTGTGCATCTCTGTCTCCGTCCCTCCCCCCCCAAGCAATCGTCCCCCTCCGTGTGTGGAAGTCGTGAAGCTGCGCACATGCGGTCTCGTAGTCAGGGCTCGACACACCGAACCCTGTCTGCGACAAGATGTAAGTCTCCGCCTCCCTCACCAAACTGGCGTCGTAGTCGCTGACAACGCCCTCGAAGTACCGCAAGTCCCGGCGGCTGGGACAAAGAAGGTGAGCAGCGGCGTGCGCCGGCTCCAACATGTGGGCGCATCGGGCCTGCACCCTCTGCACAATGTGGTGTGCAAGATCGACCGGAAGTGCACAAACCTCCTCTGCTACCTGGCGGGCCAGATCCTGTGTCCACTCAACAACCCGCGACATGTGCAGCCCTCCACGATCCAACTTGCGCAGCAGGTCATACACGGGCTCCATGACACGGAACAAGATGGTCATGGAATCCCACCAGCTGCCATGCCGCACCTGCCACCTCACCCACCTAGCCAAGTGACGAACGGAATGGTCCCAAGGGACCATACCCCAAGTGTCGCCATCCACCGTCCTCTCCAATGATGACCTCACTGCCAGCAAACGCTCCACCATCGCGAACACGGATGCGAAACGTGTCTCGCAAGGATAAATGAGGCCCATCTGCCTGCTCTCCCCCCGGAAAATATGGAGAGCGGCGCCGTGCTTCTTAATGAAGCGCACCACCGCTTTCCCCCTCACGACGATGTCCTTGGACCACGCGCCCGAACAGCCAATGTCTGACAACATCTTGTTGCAGACATGCACTGCGCATGGGAGCCACGTGATCCGTCGATGCTCTGGCCTCTGCTTGGGCCCCTGGAGCATGTTCGCCGCGGCGACGTACGCCGAGGCGGAGTCGGTGCAGATGGCGTTCACCCACTTTGGGGGGAAGTCATCGAACACCTTGATCCAGCGCGCCAACACATCAAGCACGCGATCCCGCTCACCCTCCCTGTTCATCGTCCGGATGAGCATCACCCCACGCGACCCGCCGGCAAGAAAGTTAACGATGGGTCTAGCATCGCGTGACTTCCTCCCGTCCAACATAATGGTGGCCCCCGTGACATAGAAAGGAGCCCTGACCTCCGCAAGATCAGCTCCCACATCGTCCGTCGTGTGGACAATGGTCTCTTTGTCTGCAATCTCATTCTCTGAAGGTCATAACACCTTCACTGGCCCCGGCAATTCCCTGAAGTGTCGGACTACGTCCAACCACGGCTCGCTCCGGAAGACGTTGAACGCTAGGCGCTGACTGTACACAAACCGCAACCACTTCTTCTTGAACTCCATCTGCCACTTTGAAGAGAATGACTCCGGGATAGTGTTTTGCCTCAGCCTCTTCTGTGTTGTCGTCGGTCACGCCCCCTCCTCTCTCTCCTTCCTCTTCCCTGCAGATGGACCCAGCTCAGCGGTATCCGCACCTGCCGGTGCATGAGCCGACACGTGCGCCGACGCAAAGTACTGGACCTGCTGCCCCCCTGGCTCGCTGACAGCGCCCTTCCCTCACTCCCTCCCTGACGACCCCGCCCGCGCAACCTCCTCGAGGTCATCGTGCACGTCGATCTGCTCCTCAAGCTGCTGGATCCGCCGTAGGAACTTGTCATACATCTTGTACTCACTGTTGTAGTGGATGTCGACAAGTGCCTCGTCGGTCACTTCAGGACATCCCTTGCCCTGGCGGAAATGGCGCGCCGCCACAAACTGGTTGCCTTGGAACTCGTGGCCGCAGAAAACGCACTTCAGCATTCGATTGTCGTGGAATCTCTCGCCGAGACTCTGCCCGACGCGGATGTACTTGTACACGTAGCATTTCTTTTGCGCCTTCAGATTCTCATCCTCCCCCCCATCCTCAAACACACTGGACTGACTTCGCGGCATCGTGCCCACTCGCCGATGGCTGTACGAACTCCCGCCGACCTCCCTCCCTCCCCGCACAAGGCCTCGTCGGCCCAGTGCCCACCACCAGATGACCCCTGTCGCGTCGCCCACGCACCCCGCACGTCCTCGAAACCCTCCACCCCACCAGCGACAGGGCGCAGCCCGCCCAAACGAATGCACAGAACGCGCGTTCAAAAAGACTTAACGCGTGTTCAAAAAGACTTAACGCATGTTCTTTAAACGCGAACGCACGTTCAAAAAGAATGAACGCGCGTTCAAATTTTAATTCCGCAGCGCGCCATGACCGTCTCCGTCGCCGCTCCGCGTCGTCGTCGTCGCTGTCCGCTGCCGCTCCGCCTCGTCGTCGTCGCTGTCCACTGCCGCTCCGCTCCGTCGCCATCCGCGCGCGCCTTCGCCACGTCAACTACTCTCTCTCTCTCACTCTCTCTCTCTCTCTCTCTCTCTCTCTCTCTCTCTCTCTCTCTCT